CAAAATAGATGGTTATGACCACCTAAAAGGCCTCCCAAGGTGTTGTGGGGTCCATGGATAAACCACGATCAATTTTTTTTCCAGGTCCTAAAAAGTCCTAAATTTAAGATTATAATCCACTCTTTTGGATCAATTTAGAGGTTTCGAGATCCAATGTCGAAAAATCTCGGGATTGTAGGAGATACATATCGAAGACATATAATTATGTTTGGAACCATATATGATCACTAGTCGGTCATATAAAGTCACATGGTAGCCCTGATTTTAATAAAAGGCAGTAATTTGTAAAAGGGTAAATTTGCGTTTAAAGGCAAAAGTAGATGGTCCAACCACCCAAATGAACTCTTGGGGGTGTTTTAGGTCTATGGGAAGCACCTAGACCTGTTTCCTTTTAGGGTAAAAAAAAGTCAAATTTTGTTCAAAATTGAAGGTTATAATCTACACATTTGGGCCAATTATGGGATTTTTTTTTTCCACAATTGAAGTAAAAGTTTGGGTTGTTCCTCAGGGTCATATAAGTTGGTTTAAAACCATAAGAGCCCTATCAATAGGCCTATAAAGTCCCAATAATGAATTTGGTTAAGTTATGTGGTTATTTTGGATTTATGCTGTATTGATAGTAAAAAATTGCAAAAGATGGTTCCAAACTTCCAATAATAACCAACTTGGCATCTTGATGATCTCGTTAAGGTGCACGGAGTTTTTCATCTCCATTTGTGTTTGCATTATTCACAAAATTCATTACTTACCACCATGAGTCTATATGTAACTGATTTGCAAGCATATATGATTCCAAATAACCTTTTAAATGACCATAGGGTGCATTTTTCATTTTTAATTGAGTTTTTATAATTGTGTCCAGAAATCTTTAAAATTGGTTGGAAAGGAAAATTTTTAACCTTTTCGGGCTCGGAAATTGGTTACAAGTTATAGATATAGAAGAAACTTTCTCTATTATAGGACGGAGTAAGAAGTCCTTGCTATTTTAGCGGCAAATCGTACGTGGCACACTGACACTTCATAATCCACATCAGATTTGGCGCCAATAACTGTCCACATCAGTTATTCACAGTATCACTGTTTCACACCCTAGTTTTCCTTGATATATGAGCGGGTGCTCAACAGTACAGATCTGTTTTCACTCTCTAATTCATCGGATCAAATTCAGATCTGTTTTTTTAGTGCCAATAAACTTAAACTTACCCTAATCGAAAATGGAATCACAGCCGTCGGTTTCACTCAAAACGCCGGAAAATACTTCGCCGGCGACGAAATCTCAACCGTCCGATCAAATTAGCTCTAGAACTCCGAAGAAGCTTCCACATCCTCCTCAAAGATTCAAATACCATCGTCGTTCTGTTCGATTGCCGGAAAAGTAATTTTCTTTTCGTACTTTGCAATTTCTGTAATACAATGTCATTTTGTTATTTTATTTTTCTTTTAATGTTGTTATTTAATTTTTTTTAATAATTTTGTTTTGATTATTTTTTGGAATGAAGGTATGAGATCTTATTGAGGTTTTTTGATGCATTGGATGCTTCATTGAAATTGCTTCACTTGCGGAATTCAATTCCTTTGTTTGGGAAGATTAGGGTTATGATTGAAAATATGTCCGAGAGGTATAATTTTTGTTTTTTTAAAATATACTGCATACATTTTAGCTTACTTTCTTGTATATTGAATTAATTTGTTTAAATCTGCGCAAGTTTTGATGATATTGTCATTTTTGTTGGTCTATTTTGTAGTTTTGATACTTTTCCGTTTGTATTTTTGAAACCTCTATTTTACTACTCCTGCTTTGACACCGCATATGTTTTTATAACGTTAAACCAGTTAGTAGTAGCTTGAGCTCAACAACTGTGACAGGACTGACATCTATATAACCCGAATTGTTGTTTGATAAATTGTAATCGTCGGACTTGCAAAACGTGCTCAACTTGGGAGCCAATGTTGGGCATAGCTTCTTGTCCATATGACTCATGGACTTAATTACTAATTTGGGGATTGCTAAATGAAAAAATGAGCTAAAAAATCGAGTGAGGTTTAGGGGGGACTTGGGGGAGTATGTTAACAAGGGATGGGGTACATAAGCTTATTATGTTAACCTAAAGATGAATCTTTACAAAAGAAAGTCTTTCGATTTTAATACTGTTTTGCTCTTACGATGTGCCTTTCGTTTACCAATCACTCTTACATAATGAAATTTTAACCTCATGGCTTCTTCTATTCAACTATTTCCCCTATTTTGGGAAGACCAATATTGTTAAAAATCCTCAAATTCTTGGGTATTAGATGTAATATTTCTGTGTCTCAATACAAAGTTATCACAACAACAGTTAACCCCTATGGATGTCCAGCCTTAATGCTTATTGGCAAAAACCTCCAGGAAGTTTGTTTCCCAAAGACCTAGCAGATTGATTTTGAGTGGTCGTAATTTTATAACTTGGATGATATTTAGGAGGTTTACTCATCAACATTTGGCGCAATTGAAGTTTCTTTTGCCAGAAGAGATTGGAATCAGAAAAGTCTTGATGGCTGACGAGGAGACTCGCTGCATGGAACATGATCTTCATCTCTCATTGACTATCAATAGGATGAACCGTGAAGACAAAAGGAAGCGTGGTAGCAAGCACCCCTGTTTGAGGGATCTCTTCATTTTAAAGCTTTTGGATTTTGTAAGAGATCATCCTGAGGTAAACACTGCATACTTGTGTTTTACAATATCTTCCTGATGGAGTATGTCTAGCAAATTATTAATCAGAAAAAGCTACTTCAATATGCTTAATCTAAATAAACAGATATTAAATCCTAAAATTTGTAATGATTCACACCTAGTATTCAATCCTCCACTTCGTCCATCTGTGTTTGAGTATATATGTCTGCATAATGCTTCCTTATAGCTCTTTGAACAAGTCCTGTAAAATCTTAGAAATTGAAATGCATCATTTTGAATGGAGAGGGTGACGTCCAGTTCACTCAATACATTGTTCAGGCTCTGTACACACCTGTTAATCTGTCATTCTCAATTCCTGTGGAAAGGAAGATGTTAGAACTTCCCTGGGTTGATATGCATGTGGAATACAAGGCTCTAAGCTCGAGTTCTCCTCCCTTGGTTTTTTGTAAAACTAATGGGAACCTTTGGATAAATAATGTTTTCTATGTGCATGTTAATTATGATATACTGATCTCAAAAGTCAAAATCATATCTGATTTCTGAATGTAGGGTACTGATATACCTGAGGAGAGTCTTCCTGAGCCATTCAACCAGAAGAAGCGTGATCTGCTGTTACATTCCTTTGAACAATCAAGTGCAAGCTCTCGCATTCAGAAATACGCCAGTGTAGCAGAGTCAGACGCTGCTCAGGCATCCCATTTTTCTCCATCTTTCAGGAAGCATTTTTCAATGGGAGGCTCATACAGTAAATCGATGTATGGTTCTAGTCCATCTTTGGATAGAGATGAAGAGGAATCTGGAACTCTTCAACCTGAGAATGTGTCATGTAGGCTACCTGCTGGTCAAATCAAGTGGAAACCTTTTGTTGACAGTGAAACTTATTCTGCACGTAGTACTAAGATGAAGCAGGGAACACCTATGAAATATGCTGATACTCCAATCAAGCCAGACACACCAAGTTTGCAAACACCTAAGAGGTTTAGGCTGAGTGCAGATAAAGCATCTGATCTGCCTTCTTGCGCTAGGTCACTTAAATTTGAGGGCACTGCGGGATCTGTAAATATTGATCTTCAAGTTGATGATGTTGAATGCTCCAATAATATTAGTGACATTCTTCCTGAGAACCTTTTACAATCGGTACTGATTTGTATTTTCTTTTTACTTCATAATGTCAATATAATATAATATTAAATTTCCATAGCCTATGAAGTTGTAACTGTGATATTTTGCAGCCCAAATAATTCTCAAATCTACTACATGATCTTACATTTGACCTACTGATTTTGTTTTATGCAGATAATGGAGAAAGAGAAAAGAACCATAGAGCTGGCAAAGAGGAAACAGATGATTAAGTGCCTTCCTAAGCTCTTCGACAGAATTTATATATTATTTCAGAATCCCAAGTTTTCAGCTATAAAAAAAGAGGCACTAATTCGTAACCTGACTGAGTGTCATTTGGACATTACTGATGAAAGTGAGTACGGACTTTTAAATCACATAAACTCCACTTACTTTGAATGGAAATATACTGACTCAGAACTTTATTTACAGGTGAAATTGAGGAACAGCTAAAACTACTGCAAGAAATTATCCCTGAATGGATAGTCTGTAAGTTTTCACCTTCAGGAAATGTACTTTACAGGTGAGACATAATATATTCCTATTTGAACTTTCCTCGAGTTTTTTTTTGTCTCCTGTTCTTATCATCATCCTAACTTGCACATTTTTATCAACTTGTCATGCACTTTGCAGAATCAACAAGGCATTAGACCCAAATTCGTTACGACTGACTCTTGATAAAGCCGTGTGACAAGTGCTCCTATAACCTGCTGATTTACAAAATCCATGGTAAATATTGTATTTAATGTCACCTTTTCAGAACTATAGGTAACTGGATATTAGAATGTATCTATCTCTTTGCAAATTTGTACACGAGGGATGTTTTGGAAATCTTAGTATCACACAGACTTGGTTCCCTCAAGTCTATGAGGGTTGTAATTATCCAAGGGGCAGAGCCCTTTACCGCTTTTTAACTCTTTTTCATGTTCAACGGCAAAGACATGCTAAAAGTCAAGACCAATCTAAGTTTTTGCAAAATTCCATTGTCTTCCGAGTTCATATCTTTGAAATATCATGTGTTCAGGCTTTAGCTTCGATTTGCTTTGTTATAAGTTCAGCAGACATAGTGCTCACTTGAGTTGTATGATCTGTGGTGGTTTAGCTTGGTCAGTACTGGCCATCATCTAGGTTTTTGAGCCATATGGATGTATTACTGTCCTATTTATGCACTACTTTGTACATCTTAATTTTGATGTTACACCCGAGCAGAACCAAAGCTATTAGTGTCATTGAAAGCAGGAGAATGGGCATCCTTGGAAGGTTGAATGACTAATGTTATTTGACTAGTTAGGTTGCTGCAGGAGAAACGTCTTAATATAGAGAGGTACTTGCAGAAATTTTTTACTTGACTCATTCTAATCAGCTTACAAAACGAAGTGGAGGTTTTAAAACCAAAACCCCTAATGTTGAGTTTTTGGCCATTAATATATATTGCATTCTAAGAAATACATTATATATTACGTTTAAGAGTTTTTTCTGTTCACCAGCCGAGGTATCAAGGAGGCTCTTTTAAAATATAGGCGTATGGTCAAAAGCATCCTTCAAATTGAGCTAGACTTAAACGTAGGATTGATAGGTTGGAACTTCACAATTAAGGTTTTTTTTTTTTTTTTTTTTTTGAAAATATCTTCAAAGTTGGGTACAATTAATTGCTAAAACACAGATATAATTCAAAACAGGTTCAATACTCAAAAGTAGTAAGACTTATAAAACTATTTTTAATGATGAATTAGTAATAGAGATGCACAAAGGGCTCCAGCAATGAAATATCAATTGACAATCACAGTAAGTTTGAGCATTACAGATTTGCAGTTTTATAAAGATGAGTAATGATGTGTTTTACATAAAATACACCCTGTGCAACCACGGCTGTCTACCCAACGCTGCAAGTAGTTGCAATGTTTTTGATGGGATCATAATCAACATGCAATAACTAACCACGGAGATTATCCATCTCATATATGTAAAAGAGCGATGAGCTATTGTGTCCGCATTCTGCTACTTTCTGCAGCTCTGACTTGTGAGAAATATGGATGTGCCTGCCAAAAAGAACAAAAAATTGTTACAGATGTTAACCAAGCCTAATTTGGATCGTGGTTTTTAGCATAGAAGTAAAGTTAAAAAGAGTAAAAGAATCATGTTTGACTTGCTAGTTACTACAATTGAGATGTCAAATGAAAGTCAAACTCATAGTTAGGTAGGTTAGGTTGCAATTACAGAACACTCATTAATTGATCCCATTGGCTAAATCCAACCTAAAGATTATGCAGTACGATTTGCTGATATTGTCCAAATGAACTCACTTCCCGTAAGTATGAGACAATACGGTAGAAGAAATAATAAAATATCAAATTATGAGGTGACACAAAGACAGCTGATTAATTCCATATTAGGGATTACTTACCTTTTTTAATGGTAATTATAAACATCTTAAAAATATTTAAGGTCGTGCAATCTCACCCGAAACTTGCTTGAGCTCATATTATAATCATTAGATTTATCATGTTTATCAGCCAAAAACTAGAGCACCAAAATAAGGAAATCTGGTTAAAAGTTAGGGTTGAAACCAAAAAGAGCTACATGATGGCCAAATGGGAAACAAAAATGGGTGACAGAAGAGGAAATGCAAATGAGATGAGACAAACGCATGGAGAATTTTATAACTTTTTGGATGGCTAGGGGCTAGGCTTGGTCCTATATATGGGGAATATTAAGTCAAATAATATGAAGATGCTTGAACTTCTCCCAATACTTTATGTAAATTAGATAGCTAATGGAAGATTCTGTAACACAAAGATTTCAATGACATATGAATTATTAAAACACAGCAACATGTGATAAAATAAACTAGAAAATAAAAAATCTACATCACAAAAAATGAACATTTATAAGTAGGAGTTTTACAGCAGATATCATAGAGAATTACCATTGCTTCTTTTGCAGTTAGCCTATCTTGGTGGTCATAGCGAAGAAGCTTATCAAGAAAGTCGATAGCCTGTGAAGAAATACAAGCTTGGAAGGTCACTAAATGGAAACATCAAACGATTCAGACCAACTTAAAGACATTGAATTTCATAATTTTGAGCTACTTAGTACGAAGTATTAATTAATCTTTGGTTTGAATTACCTCTGGGGAAACCAAATGCTGATTATCTGGATTGACAAACCTTGACCATGGCTTCCTGCTGTGCCTACAGTTACAAAGATCAATTTTTATGAATAAGATAGTTTCTGAAACTAAGCGATGTTCAGATAACACGACTCATCCAGTTCTATGCAGCGTTACAGCAGATATTTCCTAGAAAAAAAAGGGGAAAATCTAATTACTATAATTTTAGCAAAAGCAAAAACAGAATATGCCTCGCTGTAAAATTACCTCCCAACAAGAGCATCAAGTTGAGGCTCAAGCTCCAGATTATATTTGTTCAAATATGCATTTAATTCATCAGTTCCAAGTACCTGCATATTTATCGAAGAAAGTCCAAATCATGAGTGATTTGATGAGAACAAGGGTTTGGTCTAAACTTTCTACTCCCATGATTTTCTCATCCAATATGATAAGAGGGTTGTCCTCTTCTCCCTTTTCATTGGGACCTACTTTAACTTGGCTTTTATTAGAGAGTAAACAATCTAATTGTCCCTCCAACCCACAACCAATCTTGCTAAGACTTAAGTCAAAAGTTTGGTTTTAAGTGAGACTCAAAATGTGAAGCATCTAATGATCTTATCACTGATGTAAAAAGAATGAATTGAAACTGCTGGATGTTATCCGCAGATAAATTTCCTATCACACAATTGTGTACGCACACAAACATCTACAAGCGCACAAACAGACAATAGGTTCTCCTACTTCAGCCAAAGCTTCAACCTAAATCTAATCATTTGTTAAAAAATTTTACTCATGTCAACATATTCAGTTGAGTGGACTAAACTTCAATTAGACCCTCTATTTTCAAGTTTTGATTTGTAGAATGCACAAGATTCCTAATAGGAAATAATTTCTGGAAAGTGGCTACTGCTTTTTATCCAGGGAATGATATCTCTTATCCGTTTTCAATGAAGTTTCCTTGCCACTCTTATCTCGCTTTACCCAATTATCACAACCGCCAGAAATGTCATAGGTACAAGAAGTGCATCTTATGCCAAAAGCAGCTTTTTCGGTATAAAGTGGAACTATATAGTTTTCATTAAATCAGAGGTTATGAACCATAAAATTAATTTTGAATGGGATCAGGAGCATACCTTTGCAATTTTTACAAGCTGATCGTGGTTGTCATGGCCATAAAAGAATGGCTCTTTCCGGAATATCTACAAGATAAATTAGAGGTGTGCTGAGTGATTCCATGTTTAAGATACAATTTAGATTTGAAAGGAAAAATGAGAACAACTGCTCACCATCCCAGCAAACATACAACCAAGGCTCCACATGTCCAAAGAATAGTCATAGTCTTGTAAATCGGCAAGAAGTTCTGGCCCCTTGAAGTATCTGCAAAAAAATATGAGACATTTAAACAACCGAAAAGTGTCATAATATAATATAGTACTACTTTAACTTGACTGATCTAAAATAATCCCTATAAGGTATAATACTAACAGCAATATCTATTGTGGTATTAACAGAACTTTGTGTTCAAGTTGCTACATGGGCTTTCATATGCCCGATCAAGGCAATAATACAAATCCTCAAACATGGAGGCATCTCAAAATTGAAAATCAGACGACCTTTTAAGGAAAGTGATTGTTTAAAATACAATGCACAAAAGAAAAAACCAACCATCAATAATTAGATATTACATACAAAAAGGGGGGAAGAGAGAGGAAGAAGAAAAAAAAACACTGATCATTATAAAATTTACAACCTACAACTTATGACTTATTACACTTAGGAGCACTTGGTTAGAGAAGCTGGAATACAATGGTACGAGAACAAGAACCACAAGGGCCAAGGGTATAGATTGAAAATTAATTTATTTTTTATAAGGATTTAGATTCTATTAATGAGAGGGAGGTATGGAATTTCAACCTTTAGAATGGTATGACATTCCATACCCAACTATGCTCAACCAAACAATATTTTCATTAATAGTATCACTTCCATTCCATTCCAATATAAAAGTTTGAACCAAACAACCCATTTATAACTACCAAATATTCCTCCCCTAAAATTCCTTGCTTACTCTCTAATAAGGTGTTCAGTTGGAGTGCCAACGGATTAGAATTAGAATCACCCAAACTTTGTCAGTCTTCACTATTTTTTTTATTGAAGAAATATGGCAAGTATAGAATTGATAACAGAACCAACTAAAACCAGTGGATCTCACCAACTTCATCCCCCATCAAGTTTGAGATTGATTCCAAATATATAATTTTAAGAAGTGTTCATCTCTTCAACTTGCAAGCTAGCTAACAGATTTTTCACTAGTCTCCAAAAAATTCAGGGACTTTTCCAATAAATCTTCACAGAAATCAGACCAAAAAGCCCTCAAACTCTCTGCTCTAAGTGCCAAACCATTTCCAAAAAAAAAAAAAAAAAAAAAAAAGAGGTGCCAAACCATTTCCATAGTCACCAAGCACACCATTTAGTACCTCAACAAGGCACCAACACCCTCCCCCCCCCCCCCCACTTCCACAAGAGCCACTGCATATCCACCTTCCTAAACTAAAGCACCACATCTGTAGATCTCAGCATTTTTATGATACAGAAAGAGAGCGAGAAATCACTTGGGAAGCCCTTGCTAACCATCTTTGTAGATGTTATAAAGATAGGGTGACAAAGGTGGAGAAAAGACAGAGCAAGACAACGAAAAGGAGAGAGACATATTATATTCTGGTTTAGGAGCAAAGGGATGTGAGAAAATAGATTTCAACATGCAGAAGTAAATAAAAAATTTAAAAAGTTTGAGAATTTCAGTTGGCATTTCACTTAAAGAAGATAGAAACTAATTAAAATTTGCAAGGGAAATTTAAGCATTTCAGTTGGTATTTTATCAGCTTCTATAGGGTATGGATTTTAAGTATTGTTCACTGTAAGTCTCTGATATTTTGAAACAATTTTAACATCTAAAGAGCACCAGCCAGGACCTTAATACTCTTTTTTCAAGGTGTAACTTAAATGGAAAGCACAAGTTATAAGTACAATAAGCTAAGGTAGTAAATATTAAAAATAAATCCACCCTCCGTTACTGAAAGTTTGACTCACTGTAGACT